AAATACATAATCTTTTCAGGAAAGTTTTCTAAAATGAAGGAGTGGCGGTGTATATGGAAATCTTAAATTTTGAGGTACACTTCCAACTCCATATCTCCACTTTTTTCTCTCTTCAACTCATAACCAAGTATCTATTACTCTCAAGAAACTTGTTATGTTTTCCATACAATGAGGATTCCCACACAGGTTGGTCTCCCCTTACAGCATCACACCCTCCAAACCTACCCAACCTAGAGAGAATACTAAGTACATGCTTTTACTCCCTTCTTGTACCAATGGAATACATCACTAATGGATTCTGGCATTTAGAATGTCTTTTGCTGTAATATCCACAATAGCTTTAGAATCTATCTATAGTATTTCAGGCATCTCTTAATTATCCAAATGGTACACTAGATGAAACTTCTGCAATTTTAAGCTAACATTTGCACAACCTCTGTATTTTACTTTTCACCGTTAAGAAAAAACAACTTATTTCTTTTAGTTAATGAATAGGAAAGCAATCTGATTAAACCATGTGAAAGGAGAAATGACTACGGTATTCAAAAGTTGAATCTTACAGTAGAGTTTTCTATATGGGGAATTTTCAGGCCTTGTGACAAAAGAATAGCTGGGAATATGAAAATTTAGTTTGGAGTAGCTCTTCCAGGAATATTAGGTAATGCTTTCATGTTATTGTCCACTCCTCCAGCTCAACTGTTTAGCTCATAAAGGGAAAGGCAATAAAACTACGTAGGTGGCATTTGGGCTTTCTTTCTTCTTCTTCTTCTTCTTTTTTTTTTTTTTTTTTTCTGTCATCAAGTTGAGATTCTTGGAAAAGTGAATATAAATGAATCTAACATGATGCCCTAGGGACAATTAGTCTGAACGAAAATACCAGCCCTCGATATAATTTGTCAGATGGTATCCCACTTCTTTCATCCCAGAGTGGATGCAGGTGACTACTGTGCTAGCAAGGGTTACTTGGTCTGTTTCTTACTCTAGGAATATTCTAGTCTGTTCTTTTCTCATACATTTAGAAAATGCTACAGAGGCCCCATGCAGGAAACCAGTTGAACTATACTTACCCAGAGAGAAAGATCCGGATGACTGCATAAAATATGTCTGGATCTACATAATCTGGAGGGGCAATCAAAATGTGAACTTTACTACAGGCACAAAAAGAAATTGGTTACATGTGCAGGCCCTGCTGCTTTCCTGAGGCTGCCTCCTCTATCTGATCTGCACAGAGACCTGGAATGAAGGCAGCAGCAAGAGGGGGCTGGAATGTTCACTTCTGTAGCCTTCCTCATTGGTGCTTTCAGAACTTTTAAACTATTCCATATGCTGCCTTTTTCTATTTGTGGAACTTCTCTTTTCTGTATATAACAACAACAACAACAAAAAGAGATCAAGACTGATTTTTTTTTTTTTTTTTTAATGCAGTATTTTAAAGAAACAATATGTGAGAGAATGTGGCCTGTGGAGAGGCAAAAAGCAATGAGAAAGCATCAGTTCTTCCAAGGCTTTCATGGAAGAGAAACTAAAAAGTCTTTCATGCTCAAGTGATGTCCTGTTTAGTCAACAAAGGACACAGAAGTGGAGTGTCCCTTGCCATATCAGGTCAGATATAGGTTCATTTATCTCTAAGTTTAGTTGCACTCATTAATATGTGTAGATTTTTTTTTCCCCCATCTATGTCAATTCCCGGGGATGACTTATTCCACTACTTCTTGTCAAGGCTGCACTTTTGCATTAAATTTCTTTTCATCAAATTTTAAAGGTTGTTTCCTATTCTTCATATAATGGGGCTGCTAAAATTCTGTGATCTGGTATATATTTATCTTACCTATATTCCTATCTATGGCCCTTTTTTTTCTGAGTGAAAAAGGATCATCTATTTAAATGAAGCCTCTATAATACCATCTCCATTGATCATTTCCTCTTCTTCACCATCACTCCTAGTCTCTTGTCCTCCTTCTCTTCTTCCTGCTCCTTATTGTCTCTGAAGCCCTGTGGGCCCTGGTTACTCATATCTTCATTCAGCATCCAAACCATTCTGCCTCCCCACCAAAAAAAAGGAACTCTGGTGGCATAGTGCCTAAAGCATGTGACAGCTAACCAGAAGGCTGGAGGTTCAAACCCACCAGCCACTCCTCAGAAGGAAGGTTGGGCAATCAATCTACTTCTGTAGTGATACTGCCTCAGAAACCCAAGGAGGCCTTGCTACATTCAGCATCAGGGTTCACTAATGTCCCCATGTGGTGCTTCAATATTTCTGCTCGTCTGTGATCATGCCCCATATTCTAGACTTTTCTCTGGACCTTTCCCATTTAGTAGCTGGTTTTTACAGAACTGCTAAATATTCTTTACAAGTTTTTGCTGAAGCAGTAATGACTGGAAACACTTTAATATTTTACCCAAATTAATACATTTAGGGAGAAAAAATAAATGATATGAAAATAAAATTATAAAATTCAACACCCAATCATTATCAAACAACAAAACTAGCAAATTAAGAGTGAGATGGGACAGATTTAAATGAATAAAGTGGATCTACAGAAATGTTACAGCATATATTGTACTTAAAGCAGAAATATTAAAATTGTCTTCCCAAAATGTGGAACAAGCAAGCAATAGCACTTTTATTCATCACTGTGTTGATGGTTGTGGTAGTTAAGTTTGTGTGTCAACTTGGCTGGGCCTGGTTGAGTGGCTGGGCAGCTGGATGTAGTATTCCCCATGATGAGACTGGTAATCAACTCCAGGTGGAATCTATGGATTTCAGCTGAGTAGCTGCCTTAGGGATGTGGTCTTGTACATAAGGAGGAGCCTTGGGAAGTGGTTTCTAGCTGATGGCATGCTTGAACCCTGCAGATAGCCATGTCAGTGTTCAGCAGCCTGCCATGCTTTGCAGACCTTGGGACTTTCAATGGACTTAAATTAATGGCCTGCCATATGGTTTGGTAAAATCAGAACTGTTCCTTTCACTTGTCGACCTTGGGTTTGTCAGCCTCAGCAGCTAGCAGCTATCTGAGTGAAGAAAAGCTTCTAGCTCCAGTGGGCTGGGAGCAGGAGGCAGAGCTAAAGGCCAAGGTTGAGGAGCTTTCACCCAGCCCCTAGAGCCTGGCACTTTAAACTCAGACTTAAAGCCTCCAAATTGCAAGAATAAACTCCTGTTTTATAAAGCCATCCCATTTGTGATATATTCTTATCAGAGCAGCACTTGTAACCGAAACAGAGGTCCTAGCCAATATAGTAAGAAAAAAAAAAAGAAGAAAAATTATAAGTATTGTAAATGAAGAAATAAAACATTATTTTCAAAATGATATGATTTCTGTATAGAAAATCCAGGTAGTCTCTACTGAATTATTAGACTTAATAAGGGTAAGAAAAAGCCAGGGGACCCAGGAGAGAATAAGCAAGCATCAGAAGGATACAGTAAGGGAGGGACCCAGACCCAAACCCCCAAGTGGCAGGAAAAGCGTAGGGGAAAGGAAAGAAAGCCAGGGCATCCAGGACAGAGTGAGCAAGTGGCTGGGTTCCAGGTAAGGGGAGGGTGGAGAGGTTTCGAATAGCTAAGGGAGACAAACTTGTCTGTCAGTTTGTCACACCATAGTGGTGTGTTGCTGTGATGCTTGAGGCTGTGCCACTGGTGCTTCAAACGCCAGCAGCATTGCACATGGTGCACAAGTTTCAGTGTGGCTTGCAGACTGAGACAGACTGTGAAGAAGGAAAAGGCCATCCACTTCTCAAAAAATTGGCCAGGGAAAACCTTATGAAGAGTAGAGAAACACTGTCTGTTATAATGCTAGGCAACTATATGAATAGCCTGGAAACACTGTCTGATACAGTGTAGGAGGATGAACCTGAGAGTCAGAAGGCTCTCAAAATACAACTGGGAAAGAGCAGCATTATCAGAGTAGAACCAACCTTACTGATATGGATAAAGTAAAGCTTTCGAGACCTCCATTTGCTAACATGACATGACTGAAATTGAGGAGAAACAGCTACAAACATCTATTAACAATCAGAACATGGAATGTACAAAGTATGAATCTAGGAAAAATTGGAAATTGTCAAAAGTGAAATGGAACGCATAAAGATTGATATCCTAGGCATCAGTGAGCTGAAATGGATGGGTTTTGGCCATTTTGAATCAGACAACCATATGTTCTACTATGCTGGGAATGACAGTTTGAAGAGGAATGGCATGGCATTCATCATCACAAAGGATGTTTCAAGATCTGTACTGAAGAAGTACAATGCTGTCAGTGATAGGATAATATCTATATGCCTACAAGGAAGATTCATTAATACAACTATTATTTAAATTGATCCACCAACCACCAAAGCCAAAGATGACAAAATTGAAGATTTTTATCAACTTCTACAGTCTGAAATTGACCAAACATGCAATCAGGATGTGTTAATTATCATTGGTGACTGGAATGCAAAAGTTGGAATCAAAGAACAATCACTAGTAGTTGGAAAATTTGGCCTTGGTGACAGAAATAATGCTGGAAACTCTCATGGTAGAATTTTGTAAGACCAAAGACTTTTTCATTGCAAACACCTTTTTTTCAAAAACACAAATGGTGACTGTACA